TCAGCTCTCTCTTTCTCACTCATAAAATCATGACCATAACACTGAGCATCTGGGTACGGGCCTACATAAGTTTGATTTTCGCTAGTATTGAAGTAATGGGGAAACCAACCTTTCTTTAGTTCAGTCAATCCAAACGCTTTAGGGAGGGCGGACAATTTCATAGGTAAAAAATTCAAACTGTCAATCACTTTGATATGTAAATCTGACTCTATTGTCATATACATAATTTTGGAGCCACTGTAAATAATCTTGTCCGGTCTCATGGATTGGTCTATTAAGTACTCTAACAGAAAATAACCGTCGTAACCTTTCATATTATGAGCAAATACTTTGAAATATTCGTGCTGGGGGGAAAATAACCATTCGCCAAATTTTTCTGCAGTGTCGGCTCCTTCGAACGTGACTTCTCTGAATCCACATTTACCCGGACACGGTCCTGGGTCTTCATTATCATGTAGCTCAGAGTTGTCACATTCGTCGCACCGTGAACCACATTTTTTACATATTGATTCGGGGGTCAAAGGTTTATCGATACATTTTGGACACACAGTATGTGCTACTACGAAATTGGGACGATGAGTGGCTTTTCCGCACCAAGATGATTTACAGTGTTGACATTTAGAGCAAGATTTACATACCTCATGTGATTGACAGTCTTTACAATCTCTTTTTCTACTCGCTACATATCCATTTTCACACTCTGACACTTTATCCTGACTACATTCAAAATCAAAAAATATAAATTTAGAATTATAATGTTCCTTGGCTGGTGTGGCTCTCAAATAACATAAATGTCCTTCCATTACATATTGTTCGCATGATGTACACAGGTATTCTCCACACTCATGGTCTTCTTTCTTCCTTTTATCGGTTCTTAATACTTTATAACAGGTAGGGCATTTCCAGTATTTTTGACACTGGGATAGCCCGTTGGGTTTTCCTTTACATTTTCCTTTTTTATGTACTGGTACTGTTTTATGTTGTTTAAAACATTTGTCTGATCTGCATGTCATGTTACAGTTATCACATTTGACTGTGTTGTTTGTTTCTGGGCAGTTGTCCGTCTTACACACAATACAAGAGGTCTCACACTGATGATTTTCTCTGTGGTCGTAGTGTTTGAGGCATTGGTCGCAGAAATACCTCGCGCTGAAGAATCCCGTTATGCTGGTAATGGCATGAAAGTGGTCGTCGTCCACGAGGTACAGGTAAATACATGGACGCTTGTCCTTACTAGGGCTAGTTATGAACTTGTTACCTAGTCTGGCGCTGACCACCATCACGCGCACCCCCAACACTTCTTCGAACGCCTCCATGTCATTCAAACTTGCTGGACGATCTAAAGGTACTCCGGCTAATTGGCTGATGGCTATCGCTAACTGTCTCTGTTCGTCTCTTCTCTTTTCAGTGAGCTTCTGGTAGTAGTTGTTTGGAACTTTGTTGTGTTCTAGTATAAGCTGTAGATTAGACTTCTTTTGACGTTTTTTAGCAATCTCTTTCCATTCTTCCGGTGTACATATATTAAGTTTCGCCCAACTTACCCCGATCGCCCTGGCCATACACAGTTGATCTTCGTTCTCAATTGTGACTATAGAGGTTTTCAACTTTAATGAATTGTTCTTGCCTTTTAGTTTGGTAATTCTTCGCCTTGCTCCTCCTTTTGGTAATTCGATAGTGCCTATGGAGATGTAAAAGCTTTCATCAATGGATAAGTTTTGGTTGCTGTTGAGTACTTTTTCAATTATTTCCATAATTTTATTGGCGTCCAACTGGTCCAAGGGCTGAAGCGGAACAATGATAGGGTCGTGTAATCCTTGGTGATGAATGACGACCCGGCCCAAATCGTTCCCCGCCAAATTGCCGCGGGCTTCTTCCAACACGTTTTCAAACATTTCGTGAAGCCCTTGTCTCACATCCTGTAGCCGGAGGCCATGATGCTGTTCGTCCACTTTCACTTGATAAGTCCGGTCCACCGCTGCTTTTGTTGCGTATGTCCTTTCTGATTTTTTTCTGATCGTATATTTAAGCTGCCTCGGGGTGTCGGGTCTATGAGATGGTCCTGGTTGAGTATCATCCCCACCCCCTATCATAACTGACAACTGAGGGCTCCACTCCCCATCGTTTACACAGGCAGTTGCCATCTCATCCATTTCTTCATCAAATAATAATGCTCTCACTGCACCTTCAATTTCCTCTTGCTCTCTTACATACTCTAACGCCATATTAAAATTGTCCATATTTTCTTGGTTCTGTAATGTACCGCCTAAACTTTCAAGTATACTTTCCAGTTCTTCATCCACAAAGTTATCTCCATATTGTGGGTTCCTTAGCTGAAATAATCGAAACCGCACCCCTGGGGAATCTTGTATACCCCACGTCGCCGCAAAATTCATCAGCTCATCTGCGTCGGTAAACGTATTCACGATAATATCAAAGTGTTCCATATTACTGGTATAAATTCTAAAGTTAGAATGACAAAGTGGGCTCATGCACATTCTTATATACTCTTCAGTAGCGAACGTCGTCTATTTTTAATAAGAACGTCATCGTTTTCCATTTTGATTGGCTAATTCGCTCTTATGTAAATAGAAGCTAAACATAGTAACAACTTTAAGGGGATTAACTTTCACTTTTCAATAGGCCATTGTTAGTGTTTCCGTCCCTAAATAAATAGACGCCAGACCAAGTGGCGACTTTAAGGGGATTAACTTTGACAGTTGAATGGACCATTGTTAATGCATCCGCTCTTAAATACATAGACGCGCGACTATGTGACTACGATCACGTTTGATTCACTCGTGATCAGATCTAAAAATAACTAAAAAGGTCATAGCTCCGAGCATTTAGGAATAATACACTAATGCTTTGTGTCATTTGGATCCGGGTCGCCAAGAAGTCAACAAGTAATATTTTTATTGAATAAAGCAATACCGGTTAAAGTAGTCATAACATAATAGTCACGCGATGAACAAGTTACAAAAAGTGCATTTTCATTTAAACTTTTAAAAGGGAAAAGTAAAATTGGTAAGTGTCCATTTAAATATACTTATCTACATAATGTTTTATTTTAATGTTTATTCATATAAATTTATAACACAGAGTACAAAAATATAAAGGTGATTTTTTATAAAACAAATAATTTACTGAAGAGAAAAAAAATCAGATTTTATTCATAAATGATTTTACTTCCAGCTTGAGATTACAAGCTTATAGCATTTGTCAAGACCTTTCGCTCAATACCAAACACGGTTAGCTTAGGTCCAGTAATGAAGGTGTAAATCAGTATTTTACGCATAAGTGATTTCACTTCAGGTTTGTTTGTTCCAGCTTGTAGCATTTGTCAAGACCTTTCGTTTGATATGCAACATGCCCATGTTATGTCCAAAAATAAGCGGATATTCATCATTTTACGCATGAGTGATTTTGTCAGATAAATTCAAACTCTCCTATCTCAAAAACGGTAAGAGATAGATCCATGTAATAATACATTTTCTGTATCTACTCACCCAGATCTTTCAAACGGCATAAAAATTTAAGGGTTTTTATGGACTTTTAAAAATGGTTTAAAAACCGCTAATGGGCCATAACTCGAAAACAGCTAAAAATAGAATCGAGAACCTAGGGTTTATTTTGAAGCATTCTGTCAGGTCTATCATTTGATGCGAAAAAAATCAAAATGTATATCGTAAAATGTTGCACAAAAGACGAAAAACGCTTTTTCTGTTGTATTTTTGTTCGGTTATAATAGTTTTTTTTATAATTTTGCACATTCGTGATGATCAGTTTTAAAACGTTTCTTTTCCAAAATGAGTTTAAAATTATGCCCTAGTGGTAAACTAACACTTCAATAAATAATTAATTACCCGCTTTTACTTTAGACGGATAAACTTTAACAGTTGAATGGAGCATTGTCCGCATTTCCGTCCCTAAATAAACACACGCCAGACATTGTGGCAACTTTAAGGGGATTAACTATAACTTTTCAATGGGCCATTGTTAGTGTTTCCGTCTCTCAATAAACACACGCCAGACATTGTGGCGACTTTAAGGGGATTAACTTTGACATGTTTACTTTTCATTGTGGAACATCCGTCCTTAAATAAATAAACGCTCGACAATGTGACTATGATCACGTTCGTTGCACTCGTGACCTAATCTAAATATAACTTATGATGTCGCTTGTAAAAACAGGTGTGAGCATGCGCAATAAGTACAATTACATGTATGATTGGAGTCATAACTGGACGTCTAGCAGGAAACATCGTCAGCAAAAGTATTATTTTCAGGTAAAATGTATTTATTTTATACATTGTTTAATGTTTAAGTTTAAATGAAATGAATAATTTCGTTTTATATATTTATTTTTGCATCAATATAGTTCGTTTTAATTCAATCCTTGTATGGATAAATCTATATGATATTTAAATATATTTCGTATATAGTTCTTTTTATCTGTAATTTATTTTTACATGTTATAAGTACTTTTTCACTAATATTGTTCAACAATTTATTTACTTATACTGTTTGATAAGTTTTGATAATAAAATAAAATTGATTTCCCTGTATTATCTTGTCATCTCTCAGCACCTAACCCTCAATGTGCGCGACCACGCCCTAGATCGTGTATACAAGTCAGCTCCGTATACTTCCGGGAGATATTTTTTATTTCTATTTATAACGTGATGATGTCATTCTTAAAAAAGAATCCAAAATGGCAGCCGCGCGTCTGTTATTCAACACGGCCGCTGCGCATGTGTAGTAAGGTCATTTCTTCTATGTAAATGAATTACTTTTTATAAAAACAAAATGGCCGCCGCGCATGCGCAGTGGGGGTAAAGAGGCGCATATACTACTGTCTGACTATAGAATGTAAGAATTATACTTTCATCTATTGTACCACAAACTGTGAATGTATTGTTTGTTGGCAATTAAGTATGAAAGATGGCCGTATATTTAATCTCTTCCTACGCTAACGTAAATGATAGACTTCTTTATTACAGTTCGATCATGTGGTTTCCTTGCAAAGTTTGATGCATTAATAGAGCTGGATATTGCAATTTATGAGAGAAATATTGCTGTGTCGGCTTTTGTGAATTCTTGCATAGCCGGAGGACAAGAGTTGGATGAAAGAAGAAGGAGAATAACAACAACAGTGATCGCAAGCTCGTCGGTCGGCATTGTGTCTGGAGGTATGGTAATTGCAGGACTTATACTTGCACCCTTCAGCTTCGGTGCATCGTTAGGTCTTAGTATCGCAGGAGGGGCCATTGGCGTGGGTTCCGGGGTTGCAGCAGGAACTGCAAGGACCGTTGAAGCTGTAAAACAGAACTCTAAATTAAATGACATCAAGGCGGAACAAGAAGAAATTAAGTCAAAGGAACAAAGAGTAGCTTCAGCGCTTCAAAAAGTTGAAGAATATTTTAGAACAGAGATTGCAAATTCTAGCACAACGGACACCGAAGGTCCTGGATCAAGCATACGAGGTTTGCTTGCTATTGGTTCAGCTCTCCGAGCTGGTCATAGTATAGCAGGTATAGCTCTTGCAGCAGTAAGGTTAGGAACAACAGCCGCAGCTGTAACGGCATCTGTTCTTGGACCTTTATCCTTGGTATTCGATGTTGCATTTCTGGCAGAAGCAGCGCATAATAAACACACAGGTGATAAAACAAATGCTGGAGAAATGTTGCATGACATGGCTGAAACTGTTGATGTTAAGTGTAAAATATTTAACAGTATGCTTCGTGGAAATTGTGACGAACACAAACGATTATTTGAGTGGGCGTAAAACAATAGGTACATGAAGTTAATAAAATAAATTTATGTATGAAAGGCACATAATGTTTATGCATAATATTCCTCTGATCAAGTGTGTGTTGTTTTGTTACTTTGTGCTTGCGTCTGCTTATATGCATATTAATATTTCGCTGAAGGTAAACCTTATATGAAAGATTTTAAGGAAAAGGATAAGTGTATTGATATACATTTGTATCGGAGTATTTTTTTAAACTATTTGTTCAGTGTCGTCTATAATAAAGTACATTACGAATCATTTATTAGTTATATATTAAATGATATTATTGTATTCTAGACAATTACTTTCAGGAAATCAAAGTTAAGTAAATTACGAAAACTGTAGTGAATAAAAAAACTAGCAATTCTTTGGAGCTATCAAGTGTAAATTAACATGTCATGATCATAAACTAACTTGACTGTCACAATTTACTTTCCTGAATCTGCTATAAAGACCACAGATTAATGCGATGCCGTCAAGTCAAGATTTTGTAAATGTAATATTCTATTCATCCTTCGTCAACTATGATATAACTTGGCACTCCATTTCATTTCTCAGTGCGTATTATTCAGAATTCGTTTCTATCTAATCATGCCGGCATTCGCCATTTATAATTTATTGTTTTGTGTAATTAAAACACACAATGTATCTGTGAGACGTTTTCACCACTGAAAAAACAAGGATTTCGTGGATACATTGCAAAATTTTGATCACACATACGTTGATTTGTTTTTGTTCACGTCAGGTCAGTTTCACTTTCATCATTCAAGAAAGATAACATTGTGTTTAAAATAATTAAATCATATGGCATTGAAACAAAAGAGAATTTTTGAAATGTGTGATAAAAACAAACTGTTTTCATGATCTAACTTTAACTGTTGATTTATTTTGTTATTATCTACTTAGTTATTACAATAGCGTATTAATTATTGTAATCTAACGCAGACTTGTTCATATCACATTTTTAATCTGAACAATTGGCAAGTGTACATCCTCAAATTTGTGTGAAACAAATGAAGTCTCGAAAAACAATTAATTGAATTCAATACTATGATTTTATTAACAATGTTAATTGTTGGTTTTAATCAATAAACTTACACTTGTTTTGATAAAACAATATTTTTAGTTTGAAAGTCGTTACAGTTTTTGCAATGGAACGAAAATGATATAAATCTAAGTAGTATATAGTAATTTAAGGTAGTATATAGTAATTCAACGGACTCTTCTCGTTTTGACTGACCGTCAAACGAAAATACCTTGATTAATTAATAATAATAATAATTTATAGTATGAGAGGTAAAAAAATATTTGGTACAATAATGTTTGATTAAGTTCATCATAAATACACAAATTATATATAAGAAACGATAAAAGGATCGGAGTTTGATACATGCAATTGGTGTATAGATTATTTTATTCCACGATAGAGGAATTTGGCATATAAGAAAATAACTAAAAAAAGTTAATAATCCAGTCATTTGTAAATTAGCTGTAAATTAACTGAGGTACATGATGTCAAATAAACTTTACAAAAGTTTCAATTTACAAGAGAATAAAAAAAATAAAACATGCATTTGAATTAATTATAAGTAAGTATTTTTACATTAAAACAGAAATGAAATATTAGTTCAGCAGGGTTTTTTTTCGGGATGCTGACCCAAAGTTCTTTTCTATATAATAGTAAAATATTTAACATCTATCTCCTGGCGTCATTCAGAAAATGCATGTACATAATATAAAAATATGTACTTTCATTTATTCATACATTAAACCCAATGTAAGCTAAAAATAATATTGTTTTACTATTTTTTTGCAAAGTAAGTTAATGTTTTTTTTTTCTGAAAGGAACTTTGCATCACTATCAGTACTTATTAGTATTTTAGAGAAATGTTAGTTTTATGAAATAAATATATATATCACGAAACTTTTTCTTTAATTTAACCAGAACACCGTTATTATACAAGTAGACGTACTCTTACTACTGAGCATTATCATTTGGACATTATTATTATTATTATTATTATTAGACTCGATTATACAATGGAGAATGACTAATTGATAATTGGGCATAATTATCATTTTAGAATATAACAATTTAGAATGAATAATAAATAGTTGGATACATCTTTATCGTAGAATATTACATTTGATAATGACTTCCGAATAGTTTGCCTTCATTTTTATTTTTTTTAAGAATGAATTATTAAACAAAGTCAATAAAACATTATTTTATAGCATTATTAATGAATTATTGTAATTCTCTCTTTTATCATTTAATTAAATGATTGCAATTTACATTTTTTATTCTATCTACGCAATGAATGCTTTGCAACACATATTAAATATTAAACGGAAAAAATGGGAAAATTATACCAACACGCTGACATGACCAATATCTCTCAATCTCTTTATTCCATCAAATATTTCTCTTGAGAGTTAAGTAATGACAAAATAATGCATTTATTTAATAAATATCAGTGGTCTTTTGGGAGATTTCAATTCAATACGTTTTGTTTGAAATGCGAGTTCAAAATGAATAAAAGAGAGCGACAGGCACAAAACGCAGCCCCGAACATTTTTAAAATTTTGAAAAGGGGTAACCTCTCGGAAGTAATAAAAACAACAATATTTCATGAAAATTGCAGTCTCGGTTTGATAAAACCGGTTCATGAATGCAACATCTCTCACATCCTCTAGTTAAAGCTTTATTCAGTCTTCAACAAAAAATAGAGAAAAACAGAATCCCTTAAGAAAGCCCAACACGGCAAAATTGAAAATGTTGCAGGCTCGGTTTGATTGAGTCTGTTCATAGACGGTACTGGAAAGTGCAAGCTACCGTCCACGCCCCTAGCACCGGCTTAAGCAGAATTCAACATATAACACGAACTGGTACAATTTGAAATTTTGAAACATCCGCAGATGTGTTCATATGACGGTTATCATGGAACCTTCAATGCGACACGTAAGTACCATTCCATGAAAAGCGGCATATGGTCCCCAAGTAAAAAATGAGCCTCATTGAAC